AAACTGTTTGCTCTTTTCCACCATTCCCAGTGTATTTAGGGAATGCAGCTTTGTCATATTTTTCCATAGCGTAATTTTACCCTATAAATAGGCACATAAGACTTGGGGAGATCGGGTGGGAGAATGAGGGGTCAGTGTCTGCTGTGGACACTCATCAGCGGCCCCTTCCCCACCTCCCACTATTTTTCCAAATATTTGAGCACTGGCAAATATAGAGCAATGCAAGGGTGATGGGAATGCATCGCATATTCTGTCATTTCTCTTCAGCCATCTCCACTGACGTGAAAGCTTCCAGCCAGTTCGTCCCATTGCTTATTGATGTAATGTACACTAGCCCGTTAATATATTAACAGGATTCTTCATTTAATAAAAAACATTCTGGCAGGGGGAAGAAAAAAAAGATAATTGATTAGTGGAGTCTATCACAGCTGAGTGAATGAGAGAGAGGTACACTGTGAAGAGATTACCATTCAGTCGCTGGCTGACAAACTCTATAGCAGTGTTTACAATCTTTTATTGAGATGAGGCACATAGTTTACATTGGAAAAAAAAAACTTCATGGTACACGCCCAAACAAATACTGTTTGACACAAAAACTCTTGAAGTGCTTATATTTTCTCAATTTATTTTAAGAGTTACTTTCAGGCCTGTTTAGTTGGACAAAAAGTTTATTTGCTTGCAGCAATTGAAGATGTTATCTTAATAGCTTCAATGTTTGACTGTGCCTCTTGACTAAATATGATGGTTGCTAAGTCTCGTGGATCCTCTCATAGTACAACCTTGTTGATAACCCACATGATTCTGGTTCAATAATACTGTTTGATCTTGACAATATGGTTCATCATCACTCAGCCGCTACTAGCAACTCACACATGTCACTCACACACTAATATACACACACACACACACACACACACACACACACACACACACACACACACACACACACACACACACAATTCTGGAATTCTGTTCTTCATTCAGAGATTAGCTTGCTGTTGTAGCTGTTTGCGTTTGTTGTTGAAATGTCCCCTGGGTGGAGATTCCTCAGAGCCTCAGTCATAAAGACACACATCAATGGGAAACCCGTGAGAGAAAATGAATGAGCTTGTGGTCAGGTGCTGCTCCATTGTGAGTTTTGCAACTGCTGAATGGTGAATCTAATATTTTGCTATTTGGATATCCTGCTGATAATTATATTGAATAATCAAGCATTCGGTTTTCATTTTTAGATAAGCAACCTTTTTTTTTTTAACTTAAATTTAAACTGTGCATTAAACTGCCATTGAGAAGTAGGTACGCTGCAGGTCAATTCCGAAATATACAGCACGTTTTGATAAGGGCTGGTCACGATTTAATCATTTTCAAATCTATTATCCTAATGAGATTTCCACCATAGAACTGAGTAACTTTGTCTGGTCCCTCACCTCGTATTCTGTTTGCTATGGGTGACCCTGCCAGAGGCATAAAGCCTCAGACAACTTCATTCCTAGGATCATTGGGACACACAAACCCCTCCACCACGGTAAGGTGAGGGCTCACGGAATGCTTCGGCTTATCTTCATATGTTCTTCACTTAACAGCCCCTGTGAGGCAGCTTATTCTTTGGAATAGAGTGTCACAAAAAACTCACAAAAGTGAAAGAAATGCAAACTCTTAAATCTATTCATCCTCAATACACCAGTACCTTTTGCGATTAAACAAAAACAACAAAAATATCGAAAAACATGCTTAATTTTTTCATTCTTGCTGGCCTCAGATCTCCTGAGATTTGTATTGGAAATGGAAATGGAGAGCACATTTGTCAAATTCCCCATTTATGACTTTCAATGTCAGTTTCCACTGTAAATGGGAAATGTTTGTGTTGGACCCCATGGGACAGACATGGACAAAACACAATATTATGTTTTTTTCTGACCTTCCCATTCACTTTTCCCTACTTATATTCCTCTGTGTGGGCTGTTATAACAGGGCGTCTCTCATAATTAACCCCAAATATCTTGAAAGAGATGCTCGAAAGTGTTGAAATGAAGAAACCATTCTAACAAGATTAAATAAACGCCTTTAACTCTACACAACTGTGTCCGTGTGTGTGTGTGTGTGTGTGTGTGTGTGTGTGTGTGTGTGTGTGTGTGTGTGTGTGTGTGTGTTCACTACTCAGTTTGTGGCAGAAAGTTGAGAATGAAAGCAGACGTTTTGATTGGTAGTGCGTCCTATTAGGGTCAAATTGAACCTGTCACTTCCAACCTAACCAGTGTGGACAGGGGGCTTCTGAACAATTTCTTCTCAGAAAATAGCTTCACGACGTTTGATTTAAATAATTGAAATTGATTGAAATTCAATTTGATCTATGTAAAACATCCAGAATGTTGAACATGTAAAAAAAAAACAACAACATTTGTTAAACTTAATTGGGGTGGGGGTGGGCCTTGCATTGGTCTGTTGCCCCTCCTCCATTTATAATGCCCTCCCACTCCCAGGGCAGTTAAGGCTAATTACATGCTCAAGTACTTGGCTGCTTGAACCCAGTAGGCTCCATTTGTGTTTGTGCAAGTTAAACCTGGATTGATATTGTGCATGTGTGCCACCGTTAGCCGATTAGTTTGTTCCCAGTTTTCTAACGAGCTTCGGACTACCCCTTCACGTTCTTTGTTTTCACTTAGAATTCTTCTCCTACGGTTTCATATGTCAGTTACTTGAGTGTTTATTCAAAGGATCGACTCTGCACTGGATGCACATGCTTTTGATGTATTCAGACTGCCAGGTTGAGTGCACTGCAAATTAGTGTGCTGTCATGGTGCTGTGCGGAAGCAGAGCACTGCAGTGCAATAAAATTCTCAGTGATGAGCGTCGACATCCTCTCTCTCTCTCGCTCTCGCTCTGTACAAAAGCTGCATTAGCCAAAACCACTCTGAGCCATGCTCAGAGAGATGTACCTGTGGTCTCATTGAAATAAACACACAGATGAACACAGCACAAACTCAATTAACATCGCATTTCCTAGTTACAGACCAACACATTTGACACCCTCTGTTATTTACACCCAGGTCGCTGCATGCAAACGACCCATTCCGAGACAATCTGATCACACAGTGGAGGCTTCGCCTTGTTCTGTTCCTTTGCTTGGTGAGAATATCGCTGGGGCGGAATGGAAACTTCATTTTGAAGGGGGCTAATATTAGCCTGGGCATGTGGAAAATTCCTTTTAAATGATCACAAGCTGAGAAAAGGCAAAGAATTTGTTTAGCATTTTGCTTGACAGTCTTTACTGAATACATGCAGTTCGTTTCTCTTTTTTTTTTCTTGGTGGCACACAGGAGGGTCCTGGGAACACAGATGGAGAGGAAGGGGGAAGAAGGGGTCGAACTGACAACAGTCAGGACCGTATGACTGTCTTTGGCTGTCACTTATTGTAGGCCTGGATCACTTAAGGCTACTTGGATCACGATGCCTTGCTCTCTCCCCTCTAAAATGCCAAAATGCCCATTTTCCACTCCACAGCACTTGACATGGTACGGTTTGACTTACGATGAAGGTGTGGATGTGGGTGTGAATAGTTATTCGTCTCAATATGTGCCCTGCGGCTGACTCGCGACCACTTCAGGGTGTAGTCGGCCTTCCGCCCGAAGTTATCTGGGATATCCCCCCGCGACCCCGGGTGATCTTTTTCCCAGGTTGGAAGGTTAATTTAATGTAATCTTCAATGAGTATTGAAAACTAGATTTGAGTGTTGAGCTTTGACTTATTTTGTGGTCTTCTCTAATCTACACAGTGTCACAATTATAGACTGAGCCACAAATACACTTTGTACATACATCTCTACTCATATTTCATTAAATGTCCATTAGCAAGTTTCACCAGGGCATCATTTGAACACTCTTTTTCGTTAGTTGGCTTCCTGACACAGATCTCTCTCTCTCTCTCTCTCGCTCTCTGGCTCTCTCCCTATATATATATAT